AATTCAGGACGCACTGAAGTCCCTTCTCCACATCTACCCGCCCACCTAGAATCCCAACTGCCACCTCTAAAACCCGTCGGGTTATTAACGTCATTTCTTCGCCAGTCTACCTCGGGAAGGGCGACCGCAAACAATAAGTGGGCGGTTGCCTCTACTCGCCCGCTGATGACCTTACTTTGTTTTTGTGATTAATAAACAGCTCGACGGCGATACCGTTGACTATAAACCGTCAACTCTTCCATTACTGAGCTCGGCACGTTAGTGTAACCTGTAAAACTGAGTGCACCGTAGCAAAACTAATATCAAGTAGCATTATAATTAGAAAACGTAAAGTCAGTACAAACTATTGGAATAACTTAATTTATATCATAATCACTAAAAAAAACTCCCCCAATTCATAAATAACTTAAATTAATTGATAAATATGCTTTAGAGTTTGACATGGGAAAATAATATACAGCTTTTAAACATATTTTGATTTTATTTCGTGCGAGCATGAAATCAATGCCGTTCAAACTGTCCAATAAATATAATTTATATTTAAACGTTAAAAGTACGAATATATTTTTTAAAAAATTGTTAGTGATGTCATAAAAATGCTAAAAGAACATTTCTCGCTCAATCCCTATATCATTAATGAGGAAGAGGAATGGTAATATCCACCCAACTCAATATTATTATTCACTCATTATCACACACTAAAAAATGCATTCATTTACTAATTTTTATTAATTTGTTTATCTATTTTTTCTTCTCTCCCTTCAATAATTATTTATTTATTACAATGATCCCTTGAAACAAAATTACTTTTACAAAATATTTTCCCTAGCAACCTACAACATCACTAAATTTGCATTTGCAATGTGTAAATCATTGGATGTACTGCATCATCAGCGGTGTAATAATATATCTCATGCACTCGGTAGGAGTTTTAAATTATTAGGTTCTGTCTTCAACAGCGTTAACCACTTCTTCCTACCTAAAAAACTTCAACAGCACTTTGAATTAATAAACTTCAATTAAATTGAAAAAAACACTTTAGCACTCAGCGGGCCACCCGATGCAAATAAATTACATGCTGGTTATTCGAAACTATAATCATAATAAGATTCTTTGACGATATAATAGATAAAATCCATTCTGCTTAAGAGAAGAAGATACTTTGACATAAGTTTTCATGCATATTTATCTTTCATTTAATGATACTTTTATTTCCCTTTTATTTATTTTGTAAAAATAAACACATGAAAAAAGCTGATTTTTATTATCCATTAATGATCTTGTTATGTTTTTTGTAAATACTTAATAGATATTTCAAAGATTAGTACCAAATGTAAACTTATAATTAGGAATATCAAATATTTATTCATTTCTAATATAATTTCCAAAAACCCCGAAAATATATATATATATAACACATAATAATTTTTAGGAAATTAAAATTCATAATTAATACTAATATCATACTTAAAGAATATCTGTTACAAAGTCATAATTGACACATTTTTCTAGCTATATTTATTATCTACTATAAATTAGAGTTATAATTCATCCTAAAAGTAGGGTCAACACGAATACAGAACTTTTTGAGCACATTCTTATTGAAACATCTGACAATAATGATTTCAATAGCTGTTAATCTTCCATAGTCGCAACTAGAGTAGAACCTTAGGGAGTGTTATTATAATTTTTACACCATAATATATTTTTGTATGACATATATATATCTTAAATTTATTTTTGAGGTCAATGTCCCTTAAGCTCTATTTGTGTATGTATAACTAAATGTCCTAGATTTTTGGAGTATACTTCAACTTTACTTTAGACTAAACATAACTCAATTGCATTTTTAACCACAAAAAAAATATTGATTACATAAATTATAATGTACGAGAAATTTAGTGTGAAGATTAATAAAAAAAATTCGCAGTAATTAATGTAAAAACTATTTAACTATGTGAATTAAAAAAAAAAAATTCTGTTCTTAGATTAAAGATACCTCTAGAATAATCACCATTTAATAGCCTTATAATGTAAAATAATTACGAATGTATCAATTTATTCTAGATACATCGAACATTTGACTTTTTCATAGCAAATGTTAAAACTCGTACTTGCGATATATCTTTCTGAAAATGTTTGCATAGTACAGCCAGTTTTTTTTAACACTTGCAAATTTATAGCGCGTACTAGTTATATAACTGTCTCGATATTTCAAACTATGTACAGCCCACTATTTTTTATATTATAAGATTAAAAGTCATCATTTGTTTTGAAAGTGTAACATAAATTAAATAAACTTTCATTTATAAATTAACTTTTTATAGGCAGTTCTCAAAATCAAATTTATATATATATATAGAATGTTTAGTAAGTAAGGAAAGAGATCAGTTTTGTTCAAACAATGAGAACAATATAAACCTGTTTCCTTACTTACTGAACACTCTATATATAATATAATATAAATAGGTTATAATAAAAAAGAGGTATCATTAATAAAAGAACCAACTTTTTTGTTTAAATTTCATATAGTTAAATAATATTTTCGATCAATTAATGCACATTATTTTTTTTATTTAAGATATCAAATCTCGTATATAATAATTTGTGTATTCAATATTTATTTGTGGGGGATAGGAAGTCCAAAGTAGCCTAAAGTGAAATAGTATATTTCATAAATCTAATACATTCAGTTTTATATAGCAACTAGTAGCTATAAGATTATTGACCTCATAAAAAATATAGTATATTCATGTGTCCTTATAAAATAATATTCTTTAGGATGAGAATATTATAATAACACCCACTGGAATTATGTTTTAGATGTGCCTATAGAAAAGTTACAACGAAATGGAAAACTAGTTAAGATTTAAATTTAACAGCGATAAAAACCACTATTGTAATACGTTTCATTACAAATTGTATCTCTTTTTAAAATTGAACTTAAAACATTGAATACTAATTAATATGTTTAATTTATCCGTATGATGGAGAAGAAAGAAAAGTAATCATATTAAAAAGTATAAAATAACTCGAATTTAGGAAGAAAATGTCTATGTGTATTAAAAGTCATTTGTTTTCATGTTAATTGTAACTTTGAATAAACAAAAACACTATCATAACATTAACAACTAGCCCGTATTTATGTTATAAGATTATTGATATTATATAGCAAATGCAATATTGTAAAACCAGTATCATTAAAGGCCTAAAGCTTTTTTTTATGCCCCTAGTAACTTTTTACTTAATACAGAATAATATAATTAAAATATATTATACATGAATATTAAATCAAGAATTTAAAAATTTAATAGTTTATATTTAATAAACTAGTAAATGTATGATAAACATTTAAATATTATACTATTAAAATAAAACTGCAAACATTTCATTTAATTTAAAATATGTGTTCTCAATTGAAAAAACAATAGACATACATACACGACATTAGGGATGAACTTAAAAATTATTACATAGCTAATAATTCTAGAGTTAAAATATAGAATTATTAAAAAACATCTTGGATATTCTATCAGCCAAATTTAATAGTTCGACATCATTCTAGCCTTAATTTTAATATAATATTTCTAACAATTTCTCTGAATTACATTCAATCAAGTTAAGAATATATTAAAAGGTTTATTATAATAAAAAAACAAAATGATAAATTTATTATTATTATAAGTGTACAGAAAAAATTTTCAACTATAATATAATATCTATCTAATAAAAGCTAAAAGTCGACTCTCAATATTTTTTCTAAGAGAAATAGAATAGCTAACATTAAATCTGAGAGATAATTTATCAATTTTATAAAACATTTTTAATAGAAAAATAGTAAGCCATTACTAAAGCCATTAAATAAAATACCAATTATCTTATGGAAAAATTCATGTTATAATATTGGGTACTTATCAGATTTTAGATGTCACAAAAATTAATCTCTAAATTTAATAATTTAGCAATACCCAAATTTGTTTATCAAAATATTACTTTAATAAAAAATTTAATTGTATCTCATTGAAAATGTACATCATTTTTAAAATGTTATTAATTAAAAATAATAATAACTTTTAATAATAATAAATAATATAATAACTTCTAATACAATTTAATCATTACTATTTAAAAATAGATTTCTAACATTATGTTTGACCCTCCTCATAAAGTATTATTGTTTAGTACTTACTATTACCACTATTGGTACTAATATGCAAATAAAGTATATAATATAATTAGGAAATTTAACAAATGAAAAAAAATTCAATTTGATGAACGGTTGTTAAAATATACATGATAAATAAACAGCAATGATTTAACAAATTTAACCAATGTAATTTTATATAAATAAAATGTTATATTTTTTTAATGACATTTTTCTAGGTCAAGTTTAATCATTAAAAAGTAAAAATTACCTCAATAAATATCTATATTTTTGGTAATTTATTGAAATTTCAGATATTTAAAAATATTTTAATAGATGTTCTTACCACTGGGATAAGTTTGAAAATTATTTAACAATATTTATCGTACTTATATTTATAACTATTGAAAATTGTATAAAATTTTATTAAAACAAATTCCATCAACATATATGATTTAGCGTACATTCCATCAAACATTGATTACTTGCTAATAAAATTAATCATTAATAATATAATTAAATAATTCATATAAACTAGAAAAAAGATAATTAATCTTCTTAAACAGTATAAAATAAACCAAATTTACTAAGAAAATGTTTATGTGTATTAAGTCATTTGTTTCCATAGCAACTGTAGCTTTGAATATTCAAGAATACTTTATAATTAACAATTAGCCAGTTATTATATTATAAAAACATTTTTTCCAAGAGGAATAGAATGACTAAAATTTAATCTGAGAGATAATTTATCAATTTTATAAAACATTTTTGAAAAAAAAAAAGTAAGCCATTACAGAAAGTACCAATTATATTATAAAAAAATTTACATCAATAAGATAAAGAACAGTAGTAGTTTATAAATTATACCTTTTGAATGTATATACTTAATCCTGTGAAAAAAAATTAAGGTTTCCTAAAAAATTTTAATATTTTAATAAAACAAACATTTATATTAATATTGGTTTTTACTTTAAAAATTTTGCACCTATCTGTAACCAAAATATTTATTCTATGAACCATACAATGAATAAAAATCGCAGATGGAAATTTAGTTCTTAATCTTAATTGACTCCATTAAATTTCCAGTCATGAGATCAGCACCATCATAGGATTATAAAATTATTTGAGTTTTAGTATTTAATTTACAAATTTTAAAATAATATAAAACATTTTTCTTCTTTATAACAACTAAAAATAAAGCAAAAATTTAATAGTAATATTAGTGTTCAATAATTATTAATTTTTTTATTAATGCTGCTTTTTGAATTCATTACCTTGGTTTATCACACATTATACTAAAAGTATAATATAACTAATAAACACATAACTAATAAATATAAAATACAAATAATAAAAGTTCATTTTTGAACAGTAATTATGCAATACACAAAAATATTCTACCTCGTAAAATGAAGGATTGAAGCCATGGTTTTGTTAATGGAAATAGCTAAATATAATTCATTAGCAATTAACAATAGGCTTAATAGCAATTAAACTATATAATATATTAGTAAATATTATGTTTTCAGTTTTATACATGATTTACCTCTAATATGGATCTTTTTGGACCAGACTATTAATCACCTAAATCAAATTTCGTTCGAGTTGCCTGTAGATGTAATTTTACATGTAGGTTTATTTGATTTGTTTTTAATAACGTTAATCAAATTATTTGTTATGTTCTATATGCAATATTCAAGCTGGATGTCTGAAAGACAAATTTAAAATATAAAAATCGAAAGGACTATACGTAATAAGTACAACAATAGAGTAATTTATGTAATATGATTTTTAATTATATCTTACTTGATTGATTAAAAGTCACCGCCGTTTCAGGATTTTTTGGTTTAAAGATAACATATAATTTTTAATTCATTATTTTATTAGCAGATTAATATAAAAGTAAAAAAAACAGATCTGTGCTACAATACATATTTATTTTTCCATATAGAGAAGGCNCGGTAGCACAGTGGGGTCGTGGCATAGTGGAGACATTGCATAGTAGGGTCCAGTATAGATTTAATCTGACAGTGATTAAAATCACTATCATAAGAAACGCTTCGATGCAAATCTGTAGATAGTGTTTAATTTTAAAAAATTGATGGATAATTGCAAAAGCAACATCAACTTCTATTAANTCAAAAGCTTCATAAACTGCTAGTTCCTTATTAATACAATTTTTTTACAATTATAAAGTATATTACATTAGCTTTAATTTAAGATATATATAAAAGTGTCCGACCTTAAAATAAAATAAACTTTAATTTTATATATGTTTAAAGGACGCAGTATTTTCGGAACATTTTCAAAAATTAAGTTGAAAAAGTTATTTTTTGTAAAANAGGGATAAGTTGCGATAGACCCTTTTTGAGAAGCCGGTGAAAACATTATTCAACTAGCCAGGTTCTACACCAAAGGTAAACAAAGGTATTACAATAATTTTATTTTTGTATCCAATATTAAAAGCCATAATTTAAATATCCATATAGCATATTTTAATTTTAAAGATTTATTAATGTTCGAAAAAAATATCATTTCACTAAAATAACAGTTAATTGAGTATATTTTATGATTATTGCAACTTTGTCGTGAATTACAAAATTGACGTGCATATCGAATTTTGATTTTTTATCTATAGCAATCGACAAAAATCCGAAAAATAGGCTTGAAATGTACAATGAAAAAATATACGGAGTTGAGAAACATATTGAATTTATATTGGGCGATTTTTTTTAATTGGCTGAACTAAAAGCAGACATTGTTGTCATGTCACCTCCTTGGGGCGGACTTAATTATTCAAAAAAAAAAAAAGAAATATACTTTAAAAGACATGTGTTAAGAGCAGAGACTAAAGGCTTCAACATTTTTGAATTGCCTCGAAAAGTTGCCCCAAATGTTTTTCACTTGCCAAGAAATATTTACCCTTTAGAAGTATATTCATTGACACAACATGTTTATTTTTAACTGAATTTTGTAATTTTCTTTTTTAGTGCCAATCTTTAGCCAAGACTTTCAATGACAATTTACAGTTGAAAAAAATTTTATAAATTATAAATTGGATTTAATCTCGGCATTTTTCGGAGAATTTTATTGATATTTGATATTTTACCAATTAAATTTTTTTAAGTATTATTATTTTTTTATATATTTAGTTTATATTTAAATATTATTTCTCAACTAGATTTAAGTTTTTCGAATCTCTTTAATCTTAATTTTATTTTTCTATTATAATGTTTACTTTTTTAATCGTTATGATTTTTTTTTTATTGTATTTAATTTTTTTAATGATCTTTGTGTAATCCGAATATATAATTTTATTTAGAATTGCACTCTTAGACAATGTTAAAATTAGATTTTTATTATTTCTTTTTAATAATAAATTATTATTATTTTAATTTCAAAATAATCNATTACAATAATTTTATTTTTGTATCCAATATTAAAAGCCATAATTTAAATATCCATATAGCATATTTTAATTTTAAAGATTTATTAATGTTCGAAAAAAATATCATTTCACTAAAATAACAGTTAATTGAGTATATTTTATGATTATTGCAACTTTGTCGTGAATTACAAAATTGACGTGCATATCGAATTTTGATTTTTTATCTATAGCAATCGACAAAAATCCGAAAAATAGGCTTGAAATGTACAATGAAAAAATATACGGAGTTGAGAAACATATTGAATTTATATTGGGCGATTTTTTTTAATTGGCTGAACTAAAAGCAGACATTGTTGTCATGTCACCTCCTTGGGGCGGACTTAATTATTCAAAAAAAAAAAAAGAAATATACTTTAAAAGACATGTGTTAAGAGCAGAGACTAAAGGCTTCAACATTTTTGAATTGCCTCGAAAAGTTGCCCCAAATGTTTTTCACTTGCCAAGAAATATTTACCCTTTAGAAGTATATTCATTGACACAACATGTTTATTTTTAACTGAATTTTGTAATTTTCTTTTTTAGTGCCAATCTTTAGCCAAGACTTTCAATGACAATTTACAGTTGAAAAAAATTTTATAAATTATAAATTGGATTTAATCTCGGCATTTTTCGGAGAATTTTATTGATATTTGATATTTTACCAATTAAATTTTTTTAAGTATTATTATTTTTTTATATATTTAGTTTATATTTAAATATTATTTCTCAACTAGATTTAAGTTTTTCGAATCTCTTTAATCTTAATTTTATTTTTCTATTATAATGTTTACTTTTTTAATCGTTATGATTTTTTTTTTATTGTATTTAATTTTTTTAATGATCTTTGTGTAATCCGAATATATAATTTTATTTAGAATTGCACTCTTAGACAATGTTAAAATTAGATTTTTATTATTTCTTTTTAATAATAAATTATTATTATTTTAATTTCAAAATAATCATAATTAGAGCTTTTCTTATAAAAATATGTAATAGGTGAAAAAAATTATTTACAAGAGTACTTATTGAGTAAAATAATTAAAAAATTATTTCTTGATATTTATTAATTACAATACTATCTATACTCAAATGTTTTGAAAACACTTGTTTTTTACGGTTTATATTCATAAATAGCGTTCTATTGTTGAAATAATTTTTTAAAAAATCACCGAAGTGTTGTATATCAGATGTGTCGTTTCAATTTTTTTTTTTTTAATACGCATAATAATATATATATAGTTTTTTAAACTATATTTATTTGATTATACCCGCCTCGTATAATTCTTCATAAATTACTATAATTTCATAGTTAGTGCCGAAACCAAAGGTCTGCGCTCGCAATTCGTTAATGATTAAAAAATAAATATAGTTTAAAAAAACTAAAAAAAACACGCTTTTAAAAAACATTGAACTAAAAAGTTAAAAATAATTTTTAGTTTGATGTGCTTCAAAAGCACATTTTGAATTTTTTTTTTTTTAATACGCATAATAATATATATATAGTTTAAAAAAACTAAAAAAACACGCTTTTAAAGCACATCGAACTAAAAAGTTAAAAATAATTTTTAAAATAATTATAAACAAAAAATACTAGTATTATTGTGATAAACGCGTCGGGCTCTCAATATACGAAAAATATGGCACAAAGCACCCGCGCTTTTATCTCAATAACACTAGTATTTTTTGTTCATAATTATTTTAAAAATAATTTTTATTTTTAACTTTTTAGTTCGATGTGCTTTAAAAGCGTGTTTTTTTAGTTTTTTAAACTATATTTATTTGATTATACCCGCCTCGTATAATTCTTCATAAATTACTATAATTTCATAGTTAGTGCCGAAACCAAAGGTCTGCGCTCGCAATTCGTTAATGATTAAAAAATAAATATAGTTTAAAAAAACTAAAAAAAACACGCTTTTAAAAAACATTGAACTAAAAAGTTAAAAATAATTTTTAGTTTGATGTGCTTCAAAAGCGTGTTTTTTTAGTTTTTTTAAACTATATTTTTTATTCCTATTTCAATTATTCAAGATCTCACTTTTAGTGGTATTTTAGTTTTAATNATTTTTCACTTTTTATTTTCATATTATGATAGTAGTTACTATCAATATTTTGGTTGTTACGGGTAACGGGAAATCAGAGTTCGATTCCAGGGAGGGAGTCTGAGAAACGGCTACCACATCCAAGGAAAGCAGCAGGCGCGCAAATTACTCACTCCCAGAACGTTAATATATAAATTTGAATAGTAATTAGAATATATATATATATACAAGTAAAGCGACAAGTAGTGCGTAAACGTATCATGCACTAGGTATAGCCGTGTTTTGTTAGCGGGCGGGTGGGACTAACGTTATACCTGAGGTATAAACGGCGGTAAGAATATATACGTAAGCCGTATGACACGCGGATGGTATTGGCCAGTCAAAATAAAAATTTGTTTATACAGGGTGGCCCACCACTCACTGACAACTTAAATAACTTTTGATCCAGTTAATATTTTTAGTTGATTTTTTTTTTAAATAATAGTTATACGTTAGGTCTATAGCTATATCTCAATAATTAATTTTTTTACATTTTATTAAAAATATTAATTATTTTTAAATTTTAAATAAAATGTAAAAAAAAAATCTAAGATAGCTATTTTGTAGAGTAGAATTTAAGAAAAATTTTAGTAAAAAAATATCTTATTAATATTCAGTAGTAAATATTCTGTAGCGTTTTGAAGTTTGTGAAAATTTGAATTTTCATGTACTATTTTACGGTATTAAACATTGAAATACGTATTGAGAAAAGGACAGAAGAAAACGCTATCTTTTCAATATACTTTTGAATGAGAGTGATAAGTAATAATTGCCTTATCTAATTTCTTATCATGGTATTTATGCCAAGTTTGTAATGTATACACACTATCATCATATGTATACACAGTAATCATGAAAAGATAGCGTTTTCTTCTGTCCTTTTCTCAATACGTATTTCAATGTTTAATACCGTAAAATAGTACATGAAAATTCAAATTTTCACAAACTTCAAAACGCTACAGAATATTTACTACTGAATATTAATAAGATATTTTTTTACTAAAATTTTTCTTAAATTCTACTCTACAAAATAGCTATCTTAGATTTTTTTTTTACATTTTATTTAAAATTTAAAAATAATTAATATTTTTAATAAAATGTAAAAAAATTAATTATTGAGATATAGCTATAGACCTAACGTATAACTATTATTTAAAAAAAAAATCAACTAAAAATATTAACTGGATCAAAAGTTATTTAAGTTGTCAGTGAGTGGTGGGCCACTCTGTATATACATAATATTGATGACATGCACGTGTGTACGGGTACGATAACTAAAAATAAATTTTTATAAGAATAGTGTGCCGTCGTGTGGTGAGCGAGGCTTGGTGAGGGGTGAATGCGTTATGACAGTTTAGTCTCAAGGCCATAGACGACGGAATATGCGATAACGCGTGGCGCTTGAAGT